TGAGGTTCATGTTAAAAAATGTGAAGTTCAAGTCTTTCCATCACAAATACAGAAATGTAATTTTCAAAGGTATGTATCTCAAACAAAGATGTACAGTATATCTCCAATACAGAAATGACAGGAGCCATTTGTGGACTGTCCATCACAAATACAAGATTCAATCCAAGAGTATGAATCTAAAATGCAGAATAGAGAGAAGCGATATCTCAATTGAACCTCAACGATACTACCGGTAACATCGGCGTGTGTGTATATATTGTGACTTCTTCGGGCAGTAGCAGCCACACTGTCAAAATTTCCTGCAGAATTTTCTATTTATATCATACTATAATGTATTTATGGCATACTATACTATACTATGACATTTTTTATAATATACTATATTATTATGTTTAATGTCATACCATACTATTTCTTTTTAATGACATACAAATGCTATGACATCACTTTTTCCACGGCATCATTTACATTTTTTGGCATAATACACAATTAATTTCCATGACAATTTATTATTTTTCATGACATTCTATACTATGACATTTTCTATGGCATACCATGACACTTTTTTTGGCATACTATAGTATGACATTCTTATGGCATACTACACTATGACACATTTATGGCATACTATGCCATTTTTATGACGTGTATTCATGGCTTACGATACTATTGGCTCACACTACTTCCTGCTTTGAAACTCAACAGAAACACAGGTGGCCTGAGCTGTTTGACCAAAATGTCTTTCTTGCAGAGAGGACAGCCTCCTGCCTGTTGCTGTGTCTTCTGTAGCCTAATGAGATAAGGGGTGGGGGGGGGGCTCCTTTACTGTTGGACTGATAACTGCTGGACTTTGACTGGAACAGCAAACTGTGCGCTCCACCAGAAACACCGTCTGAAGCCCACCACCATTAAACATCTTATTCACCCACCTGTCACCGCCTGAGTGCGTGTCTCTGTCCCACGCACTCAGACGACACACGTTTGTCCGAGCAGTAACGAAAGCAGGTCACAGGGTGTCAGCGCGAGAGCCGCCGCCTAAGCACCGGGGAGGCCTGGGAATCCCGCCACATGCAGGCGGGGACGCAGACAGAGAGCAGGGACAGACAGGAGGAGGGTGCCGAAAGGCCCTCTATGGAGGATAATGAGTGTGCACTGCTCGCTCACGTCCAGGGCACCACATGAGAGTTCCAGGTCAACTTTAACAGTGACATGCTAGGTAGACCTCTAGCACAGTGTGTGCACATACTGAAGTGAGGTTTGATCTCAGCCAACATTGTGTGCTTATACAACGGTTCGTATTATATCCTACCAAAAGTTACTCCTCATCTTTTGTGCATCTTCCTACATAAGTCCATGAACACTTGTCGATTATCCCTCATTATATGCATACGGCTTTTTTGAAATAAAACAACAAAGCCACTTGGTTAGGTTTAGGAATAGATCGTTGTTTGGGTTAAAATAACTACGGAAGTGCCATTACTGGAGTACGACATTGACTTCTCGTTCCACATGGGGAACGAACTGCGGTCTCCTGGCTGAGAGATCGCTATTTGTTGGACACCATCCACCTCAACTCCCGCCCACCGAGTGTGTGATTTAACCATCGTTATGCATCGTCGCTCAAGACTGCGCGGATAACATACAATACAATTAAGCACTATTTTTCTTAGGTATTGCTACGAATTGCCAAATGAGACCAGCCTGAATATCACAATTTTTTGTCCCAGAATGGTTTACAAACGTACAACTCACCGTCTTCCTCTCACCCTAACCCCTAACCTGCAGGTGGGCCAGTGGGTTCTAAGCATATACTGTGTAAACAACACATTCTCATTTCCAACTGGTCAAAAACAGATGCTTGGTCAGTGGCCATACGCTTCAGTACGTCAGTTTGAGATGTGTCAGGGACAGCATGACAATATACGCTTGTTACATGTATAGTTTCTTTTTCTAATTTGAATTCCGTCTTCACAGGAGGTTAGGTTTAAGCAACAAAACCACTTAGTGAGGTTTAGGAAACAAGCGTGGTTGACGTAAATTTGACTGACTTAGGACTGGGACGAGCGGGTGACAAACGACTTACGTGACTAAAGACAGATGTGACAAAGTGTCAACTTTTAGTTTTGTGCGGGAAGAACTTCTTGATAAAAGTCCTGTGTTAGATTGACCCATTCACCTCCTCTCCCCTTCACTCCTGGACAGTTTTGAGCAGGTATATTAGCTATAGATCCCAAAACCTTTTTTTTGTACCCGGCTGTAAACATGTTTATTTCTGCTGTAAAGTCGGCCACTTTAACAAGGGGGTCTATGGGGATTAGCCTCACTTCTAGGGCCAGCTTCAAGAGGCCATTTGAGGATCTGCAGTTTTCAGCACTTCAGTGTTTACTTTATTTCTCAGCAGCAGAGGTTTAGCGCTTGGTTTGGCTAAAGACGAAATCCATAAAAAATCTTCATGAAGGGAAAAAAAGTTGACAGAACTCAAGAGGAACAACGAAGGAGGGATCCATCCTCTGGGATCGACAAGCCTAATTCAACTATGCTTATTTAGGAGATAAATACATAGGGACATAAAATATGCTCTATAATAACAGTACAAGCAGCCAGTGAATGAGGGGGAGGGGAAGTAAAGTACACCCTACCAAACCTGCTCAAAACATTTTTTTAAATGTAATGATTATGATTATAATGAAAACATACATAGAGAATAAGATAATTTGTCGTAGAGCAGCACAGGCATGCTGATATATTATTGTCTTCAACTGTAAGGTATCATCAAGGTGAAAAGGAATCCCAATTGACTCGTCCGCTGCAGCCTCTAATTGGTTTGGGCGTTAATCTGGGGGGCTCCAGACTAAGAGCCTGGCTAATGTAAGGAGACCGGAGAGAGAGTCCAGGGTGGGGGGGGGGCTGTTGACGGCTGCAGGGAGGATTGGAGGAGATTAACAGAGATCTCTGAGCGTCCTCTAGAAACAACTCAGCCCAACTGTTTATCTGCTTTTCTGTCGGAGCCAACGGGACAGGGGTCAGGGTCTAGGGAAAGTCCTGCATGCAAATGTGGCTTCCAGGGGGCCAAAGAAGGGCTCCCAGTTAGACCTGCAGCTCCTCCACATGTGTTCTTTTACTTGAGTTCTAAGTTGCCAAAGTGGGTACTAGACTTCTTGGACTGGGTACAAAGGGGATTTAAAAGTCCTTGACAGGGGTTGTAGGGGTCATTGACTTGGGTCAATGGTCCTTAAGTGAACAGCAGCTTTGGTAAGTGAAGTGCTTTTGTGTTTTTACATCTGCAGTAGCGTTACTACTGTGTTCATTTGTCTATGGTGGTGTTTTTATGATATGGTTAATATTGTTCCCTCTGATGTGAATAATATATGAATGGCTCATGCTCTTCAGTGTGCGGATGAATACGTGTTGTAGCGCTGCAGTGTTGCTGGATTGGTGTGTTGCTTTATTGTCATATAAATATATGTGACTGGTTCTTGTGAGTTTGTTCTTGTCATTGTGTTAATTACATTGATTTTGACTATATGCATTGTCCGTTAATAACAGAGCATGTGTGTGTGTGTGTGTGTGTGTGTGTGTGTGGGTGGAGAGATGTATCTTATCTTTCTCTGTAATAAAGCGAATTGTTGCTGAAATTGCATTTCATGAATAATACTATAACATAGATAATAACAATGTATCTGTCACCTGTCCTGCAAAACAAGCACACAAATGAAACATGGCTGAGAAGTATAAATAACTGACTTCACAGTGATGGAATATGAATGCAAGTTTATAATGCATGGTTTTCTAGGCGACAGGCCAGACACGTTATACGTGTCTGCTTCTTTTTGGCGCAAACTCGGATCCCTCTGGAGGACGATCAGTATAATCCTGGCGAAACCCTGCAGCAGACGTGGGTCATCTAATCCACGGTGCAGTAGCGCCATCATGTGTTCACAAAGGAGAACACATTCAGATTCAGGATGCATGTTGATCACCGCGTCTCGTTCCACAACTCTCAACAGCTCCGTCACTTCTAGAGATTAAAAAAAGGTGATATTATTTTTGTTTTACTCAACACTTCCTCTTCCTCTTCTGTGGACAGAATCCCTATATTTGTTAACATAAGCCTTTTATTCTGAAATCTTTGCAGGACAGTGTTGTAGAAAATGCAGAAACCTGCTTTTGAGATTGTTATTATTTACAAATGAGCACACACTTCTTAACCTTTGTCTGATAAATATAAATCACATTTATAATAAAAGGAAACATTCTGGCCATTATGAAAGGAAAAACTATGTAGAAAGACACGCTGGTAGCAACTACTCATTTATACAAGAGCAAAGTTACCAAGATATCCACTGATTCATATTTGATCCCATGACAATCTGCCCATGAGATTAATATGACATATGATTATGTCAAAAGTTGACTTATTGAACTGAGGGAGCAGGAGATGAAATGTAAGTCCAGGCTTACCGATGTTATATTTATAGTTATAGTTATATTTGCCAATTTTGCTTTTAAATCTAAAAATAAATGCAGAGGTCAGACTTCAACAACACAGCTGACAAAGTGTCAACGACAAAGTGTCAGCATGAACTCGATAATTATCATCACATTTTGAATTGACATATTTTTAGATTAGAAGACAATTCATTGAAATTTAAAATGCCAGGTGTGCTTTTTTATTTGAATTCAGATTTTGTTATAGTTACTCATCCATCATTTTTTCATTACATAATAGTGTTAGGGTTAGTTAGGTCAGGTTAGTCCCAGGGTTAGGGTTGGCTCTTCCAAAAACTGAAGCTGATTGGAACATTTTTGAATGACATTTAAGCTTGTTGCTGCACATCAACTTTTAAACTGTTATTTTGGCTTATTATATTTGATATATGACCTGTTTCTTTCTTGTGGTCTTATATAAACAGGGAGAGCTGCCTCCGTATTTAAAAAGTACCACACAAATAAAGCTGCCCTGCCGTGATGTTTCAAATGATAGAGATCAGTCATGGAAGAAGAGTTGATATTTACTTTTATTATGGGTTCATCAATAGTTATGGACGTATAATCATCTCTTTACAGTACAACATAAGATCAGAAGAGCATGACAGACCACTTCAACAGAATGTCATAGTTTAAAAAAATTAATAAATAAGAGCATAAATAAACCAAATACATGTTCTCAACTTAGATATAGATTCATAAGTACTAATATTGTGTCTGCATGCGTCATGAAACACCCTCAAACGTTTTCTGTACAAACACGAGAGGAGAGTTAATGTACAGAATGAGTTGATGAGGCTACTAGACCGTACTGAGGAAAGGCCTGACATAGAAAACAAGGTACTCAGGAAGCACTTTAAAGAGACCTCACACACACACACACACACACACACACACACAGTGCATCTTCCAGAATGGTTATATTTACAAATGGACTGCATACAAATGTTAAAACACATAGACTCTCGCACACACAGTTTGAGTAACAGACCAACATGTCTGGGAGACCCTGATTTTATGGACCACATTCCTCATCTCTTCCTGAGGAAAAGCAGCAGCATTACATCCAAGGTTGTCCCTATGAAAGTCCAAGACTGCCAATTTAAATTCAAGTCCAAATTCAAATATAACTTTAAAATAATTGACACATTGCATGTATGAATGTATTTTTTTAAATGGAAAATGCTCAATTATGTTTATGTATTTAATGTTGACAGATAATTGTCAAGCTTAAAACTGACATCTAATCAAGTTTTGGTTGATTATATCAATATGATTTTCTCCCATACAGACTTTACTGAAGAAAGGGAGTTGCAAGATGGTTTCATTATATTTAAAAGTCAAATGTCATGACATAGCAAACTCCTGATGCAGGAAACAGCAGATGTCTTCAGTGATTATGTGTTGCTAAATGGAATCTAGCCCACACGTTTTCGATGATGATCCAATAATAATCCAAAGATCAATGCTGATTGGTGCCGCATTGATGTTGTTTGTCTATTTTCCTTTATTTATGTTTATCATGTTAGTTTTTTTTTTATGTATTTTATTATTTTATTCTATTTCTCTTTTTTTTATGCAGTTTTCATAGTGCAAAAAAACCTTAACTAAAGCAAACTAAAGTCCAGTTTGCCGTTTCGTTTTCAGGTTTTGGTGGCACAATTTCAGCGAATTTGAAAATGCTCATTCCATTTTTATTAAAATTGCGTTAACCTTTCGAGTACACAGAATTCTTTTTTTAATAATTGTGCATTTTCGAACATAACATTTAAATTCTTTAATCGTAGTTCTAATTTTGTCACCAATAACATGCAAACAAATAGAAAATGAAATTTGATAACAATTCTGTTTCAATATTGGCATCCCTGATCTTTCATAGATTTCATCCTCTTTGTTTTCATGTTTCACATTCGTCAGATTTGACACCCCAGCTTCAAGTTTGGACATTGTCTGGCTGACATTTTGCATCTCCAACCATGAGGCCAGGGCCTCTACTCTAATGTGAGTCATCGTGTTTGAAAGTCAGAAAGGCTTTTATCTGAGAAGCTTCTGATATACACTAAAGATTCCCAATGTGCATATCTTCTTGTTCCCCGGTTCGTGTGATGTTGTTCCTGCTCTACTGTTCCTCCCAAACACACAGACAGTAAGCTTGCTACTGGAACACGAAATAAATGATTCAGTAAATGCTCAAAGAAAAATAAATCTTTCAGCATTTGTATGGCCCTTTCCTCTTGATAAGAAGGGTATTTCACATTGAATATGGCTCACTGCATTGTCACTGTCATCATCATTTAAACACAGAGGTAATTAGATCCTGTACAAAAACACACACACACACACACACACACACACACACACACACACACACACAACTGATCTTTACAAAAGAAGAAAATAAATACTGAATACTTTCATCAACAACACGTCATTGTCAGCGTAGAATAGAATCCTGTGAATCCTACTCCTGATGTCCAGTGTTGCTCTGGAGAGATGAATGGCAGCTATATAAGAGGTTGTCACAATAAATGTTGGCATAAGTAGTAGTATAAATGGCATAATAACAGATCAACAACATGAAGTGGCCCAAGAAACATCATCTTGTTTTTCTTTGCCACTGTGTAAACCAGGTCTGTTTCAGCTGTGGACTATGAAATATGGATCTGAAATGTCTTCTTATGGCACTTTCAAACTCTGGTCAGGAAGTGTCCATGACCAAATGAAATCTATTGGTGGAGTGTCCACTGGGTTGTCTCTGATGAGTCCAAAGTTAATCATACATTTGGTGTGTTTTTTTAACAGCTTCTTTTTTTATTTTGTCTTGGGATTTTTTAGCATTAAGCTGGGAGACTCTCAGGGGCCGGACGGAAAAAGAGTGGTCGAAATAGAAGGCTGAGGTTTCCAAACTTCTATCCTTTGTGGGGGTCAAGCTCCAAAATGCTGGATCCTACATCTCCTATCATGCAACTTGAACATGCCTCTTTGTTACACGCTTCCTGCCTGATAAACACCCACAACCTTCTAACTCTACACCTCCAGTTTGTAGAACTTTCAGTTCTAAATTTGAACTCTCCAAGCCCAAACTCAGATAACGTAAGTGACATCACTGTGACATCATCAGGGTTATTTCCTGAGACTGTGGGAGTAGGCTGACTACGATGGTCAAATAAAGGTGTGAAGTCACTGTGCTCCTTTAAAGTGACAGTAGCAGAAATTACAATGAGGCTGATTTAAAAAAAACAGAAAAGTTGTAGTATCAAGAATATACATTACATATATATTTTTTTAGATTTATAGTAACAAATGCAATGCTCTGATATTGAGCTATGTTAAGCTAGCTATGCTAGCCATGGCAATATCAAAATAACATGTCTGGCTTGGTTGTTTATTAAATAAAAAGCACAGAGGTAAAAGTTGAATTTTAAGAAATACATTATAATAAGATATAATACTCAACGTAAGACTATTAATAAAATATACCATAGATATATATAACAAGTCTATGATGGCGTATTGTAGGTAAAAACAAAAAAGTTATAGAGCCGGGGGAGAGGGGTAATATTTCAAGAAAAAAACTCTGAGATTGAAGTCTTAAATGTACGAAAAATTGTGGATTTGTTCTCGTCGATGGACCACATGGTTTACTTTGCAGGGTTGGGTGAACCACAGATGCCGTCACACAGGTGTGTGTAGGTGAGAAAGTAAATGAAAGCTGTAGAGCAGTGGTACTTTAGGTGGAGCGTTTAACTCCTTTTGCATTGCCGACCAACTGCTAGTAACAGTTTCAATTCATTTGTTAATTGATTCATTTTTCACTTTTTGGGGGGTTTTAGAATGAAAATTCTACCTTTTATTTGTGCTACTATGGTCGGCCTAACGCACCTCTTCAAAAGTCAAAAAACAAAAGTCCGATTTTAGTTTTGTGACTATGAACAAAACAAGAATATTTCACAACCAGCCATTTCTGTTCATGTCATTCTAAAACTGCATGGACAGTTTGGGTGGTGTTACTTTCACAGCTATGGCCTCGAAACAACTCTCTCATGAAGAGAACAATGCATTTGAAGATCTTAAAATAATAAAGTTAAATTCAATGTTTTAATCGCACAACTAGAGAAGCTACTTAGAGAGCCTCATTCCGTCTCATTAATTATAATCTTTGAGCATCCATAAAGCCCACTATCTCCACTAAATATTGCTTGTAAATTTACCCTGTAAAATAAAAATCACCTTCAAATTCCCAGGAGGAGAACGGAGTTGAAGATCACACCATAGAGGGAGAAAATAATGGTGATCGTACACAGACCCAAACCAATTAATTTCCCAACATTATTAGCCATTGTTTTCCCTGTAACATAGTGTCTTTGACAGTTTCAGCACTTCATAATTCACTTGATGGCTTTCCATGTTACAGAGTTAAAAGAAAATGATGTTATTTACAACTTAGTTTTAGTAGTTTTGGTCATCAAAAGCTGTTTTGCTAAAACACGGAGGGCGCAACCTCACCATCCATCGGACGGTTGGAAACAAATCTTTGATTAAGCACTTTACAAAACTTGGTTATTAACTGGCTGCTGGCTCTTATTTGAGGTGACATGTTCTGACCTCTCACTTTCACTGGTGAGTGAAAAAAAAAAAGATCACAAACAAAAAGAATCAAAAACTTGTGAAAATACACCTAAGTTGTAAAACAACAGATATTTCCAATAAAATATGGTCTCTGTTATTAGGAGGGTTCACCATAGAGGAAGAAACCTCCAGCTGATTGTTACATGAAGCTCCTAAGTCCAATAAAGAAGTGATGTGGAGTGGAGACGGGGCGAAAGATGAAAGATCAACAGTGATTATGGCGGCCTCTTCTCCGGAGGGAAGAGACACTGTTTCTATATTACAACAGCCTGCATTGTTCAGACAGCCACGAGACCTGAAAGAATTACCTGCGAGTGTAAACCAGTGTGCATTTCAAGTGTTGTCATATGACACAAGTTGATGATTGTGTGTTTACTATGTGTGTATCTGTGGAAGATTGTCCATCCCGTCTGTACATATGCATTTGTGTAATACTAACCAAAGACCCAGAGACCAAACATCTACCAAAAGTCAAACCGTTTCCTGTATGATGTGAAGAGGCTGTGAGGCTGAACACACTGCAGCATATTGTCCTCGCTCCACCCGCCATTTGGTCAGTGAGCCTCATGCCGTGTCTTTCAAAATAAACAACATTTTTAGGTTGACTTGGTTTGGTTTAGTTACGTAGCTTATGTACGTGGCATTGTGAAGTACGTAAGTTACGTAACAAAACTAAAGTAAAATAAGTCAATGTTGACATTAACAGCGGTCTCCTGGGTGAAAGTCCTGTGTTTGTTTAAGCCAACCAAACATCTCCAACCTGCCCTACGCAGACTTTCTAGCTCTTTATGTAATGTCAGCTGCTCTGACCGGTTTACATTGGAGTTAGTGTTATGAAGACGCTGAAGGTTGCCTCGGTATCAGAAGCCGAGGACCACTGACCAAGCGTTGGTATTTGACGAGCTGGGAGTAAGAATGTGTTGGCATGTCCCTTACAGCATGTAGAAGTGAATTGTTGGTTGAACAAGATGTCTGACTTTGACACTCTCGCCTCCTACCAGTGCTCAAACTTGGAGCTTATCCTACCTCAAATGAACTGGATTACAATACACGGCATCCGCTCATGTCTACAGTTGAAGTGCTTCTAGCTGCCTGACATCACAACCTACTCTTCCTCCCTGATCTCTCCCCAACAACTGTATCTTTTGTGCTTTCCTCGTAGTCCAGACACAATGAACAGTCACACGATCTTCCTCAACAGATGGAAAAGGAGTCCTTAAAGTAATAATACATTTAAATGATTTGTATTTTAATTCAGCTCAATCTAGGAGGTGATTCTGTGCTCATGCTGTGGAGAACCACTGGAACATAGCTGTAGTTGTGGTTTTATAAAAAGCCCCGATAATTAGAAGTTGGACACAATGTGTCTGAAGGCAGAGAACATCAGAGGTGTGCTGCATGTGTCTGAATAACGGGTCTACACTTGTAAAGTCTTGTTGTATTAGAGGTTTGGACAGCTCTTACAGGTCATGGTCAACTGATGCAACCCACAAAAGGGTGCAGTATTTAGGGTCTAGTGGGTTCAAATACACATGGGTTGGTAGGGGTGTAACGCAAAGTCAATATCTAGGGAGGAGTCGACGTCTGTATTTTTAATTCTCATGTGCTTGTAGTTCATGTTTTTTCTTATGTGCAGATGATTTTTGTTGTACTATTATAGATGATCTTTCTTCGATACAAGCATTAATTCTACTGACAAAATGTTAACTCGTGAAATCTCTGTTGGGTGTGGTTACCGGTGTAACAGATCACACTTCTGATTACACCCAACCACAGCTATCACTGATGCTGGCTGGGATCTGACACCTTCAACCAAAGAGAGAGACAAAACACTGCTTTCTACGCCTGCGATGAAGTTTAGCTGCCAGCTAAGGGCGGATATTTCATTAAACTGTTGGCGGGGGCAATAAATATGAAAATTGTTTTTGTAAACTTTCAAAACATAAAGGTCCAGTGTGTAGGGTTTGTCGTGAGTGTGAGTGTGCAGATTGCAACCCACTGAACGATCTCCAGTGTGCCAAACATGTAGGAGAACTACGGTGGCTGACAGGAAAGGCCCTCTCTAGAGCCCTGTTTGGTTTGTCCGTTCTGGGCTTCTGTAGAAACATGGTGGACTCCATGGAAGAGCATCCTCTCTGCCTATAAATATGAAGAGGGCTCATTCGACAAAACAAAAACACAAAGATTCTTAGATTCAGGTGATTATACACTATCCAGAAAACTTCATAAATAAGTATGAAAAATTCACAATAATAAAGAATTATATTATGTTTACATTTCTGCCAATAGATGGTCCTAAACCCTACACACTGGTCGTTTAAAAAACACATTGTTTTGCGTCTATAACAAGCACAAGTGTGAGTAGTTTATATAGTTATGTTTACAATAATATGTTGGGGGGAGGGGTGGGGGCATTGGGCCATATTGCATGATTTTCTTTATAAACTGCAAAGATGTGTTTGTAACTGCATCTTTTAAAGGGGAGTGTGCATGCAATGGGAAGATTAAAATAAATGACATTTGAAATGTTAAATTAAGAAAGCTATCGACAAACATTTGACACGCTTCTCAATATCCTTACTATTCATTGATATCTGATTATGAAGTAGAAAGAACACCTGTGGAACATCAGCCAAGCTTGATTCTGCACCACGCAACTACTGTGCTTAAAACGTATAATATTCTAAAAGTCTGGATCTGATGATTATGAAAGAAGATCTGATGAAGTAATAAGGAGCGCCTTCTTAATATTGGAGATAGAGACACCGTTGTAAAAAGGGAATTCAGTTGACCGTAACAAGTGTGTGTCGTCTGTGTGTTGATGAGTTATGACCTGGAAGAAAATCACTCCAAAAACTAAACGTATTGGTATTTGGTTACACCCCTACACCTTGGCATGGACGACCATACATCTTTGTGTTTCCCGGTGTACTGCATGTAACCCTGTGCGTGTCCCCCCGGTAGTGTCCTCATAGCCTCGTCTGAGCCTCGGGGATGTAAATCTCGATGCTGTCAGCGCTCTCCGTGGCCGAGTTTTGCCGCACAGACGCCGCCCTCTTGGCGGCCATGAGGCGCCTCCTGGCCTCCTGCCGCTGTTTCTCCGAGCTCTCCAGCGAGCGGTCTCTGGCCAGAGGGGGGTGGTGGTGGTGAGGGCCCTTGGGTGGCTTTTTTGGCACCGGAGGTGGGAGCCTCCTCTCCTGGTGGGGAGAGGACGGTAGGGAGGGAGGGAGGGTGGGGGAGAACATTTCAGGAAAAAGACAAACGTGTGTGTATGTGTGCCTGTGATGCACAGTGTAACTGCCATCTTTAATGCATCTTTAGTGGCCTGTAAGCCTCTGCACTTCTACGTGTGTGTAAGTAAAGAAGAGATGAATTAGATGTTCCGTATCACTTTTTCATCCTCATCACTGTGTCAGTGTAGCTACTCTGGAATCTTAACTCATTCTCTGCACGCATTGGTTCTCACATTTGTTCTATTTCCGCTATTATATCAACTTTGCTGTAAAACTATCTGCATGGGGACGGCTGTAATTGTACCTAGTGGACCTTGTGTAGTCTTTCATATGCATGCTAGGTAGGTATTCTAGTATGATAATACATAAATATACTGCATTGTTTGCAAGATTATCCCGTAGCAAAGGTCTCTTCCTGCATCTATTTTATGTTTTCATTAGCTGTACGTATAAAAACACGAGACCAATTCCTCTACCAAGCAGAACACATTATTTCTTTCTACTGACACAAAAGAGTTGCTAAATTATTTTTCAGTAGCAAACTTGCCTTTTTACTGGTGCTTTAACACCTGTTGTTGTAGTTTGTGTTGGTGTTCTAGTGTTATGCACGTCTCTAATTTGATCCAAGAATCTTAGCCACACTCTCTCCCGTCCAACACACACAACAAAAAAGCCACACACGGTAACGTGGCTGCAGGCGGCAGAGGGGAGGAAGGGCAGGAGGAAGCATGGGCAGATGAATGGAAAGGACAGACATGATGGATCTACGGAGGCCCAGAGGTGTAAAGGCCCCGTGGTGTTGTTGGCATTGCAGTTATGCTGATAGATGCGTGGCTGTTTGCGAGCACCTTCACTGTCGACAAAAAAAAAAAGCACAAAGAAAGAAAAAACAATGAGAGCGAATGAGGAAGCCGGCAGAGTCAGTATTCACAATGATGCAAAGCCACAACAGACACTGTTGAAAGAGAGCAACGGAGCAGGCAGAGGACAGCTGGAAGAGATTTACAGATACACTTAAAGATATAGAGAGTATCTGTATCAGCACTGAGACCAAGGCAGACAAGCATGCACTGCAAGATTAACAGCAAGGCTTCCTTTTGCGTTTGATAACAACAAGATGTTACTTGTTGCGGTGGAAACGGTGGAGTGAGAGTTGGAGAGAGGATGAGTGTTGTCAGACTTTGTTGAGTTGGAATACAGAAAGTGTAGCTGAGTGTTATTTCAAATATCTTCAATGTCATGGCTGAATATTTAGCTGATTTCTGTTGCAAAAACAACGTAGATTGAGCGAGCGGAATTGCACCAAAGGATTACATTGCAGTCCGTTTCATGGCTGCAGAGCTCTCGCTCAATATTGGACCAACTTCCAGGTTGGAAAATACCCTAGTTTCTCTTTAACACTGGGCATTACCCCCTGCATGTCAAGCAAACATGGAAGGCTTGCAGCCAGGAAGCTCAGGTGTGTCTACAATCTAATTATGAGCTAATAAAGAGCTTCAGGGTGAAAAGGATGAGTCTTGTAAAGGCCCCGACACACTATGACACTACACACTACGACACTATACACTATGACACACTATAATAGCGTGTCAGATGCAACACATGTCTGGTAATCAACCATTAACAATGAAAATTAAATAAATAAACGGAGGGAAGCAGAGACATGTCATCACCTCGCATCATCGCAGGTTCTGCAAAATACAACAAAGAGCAAGCTACATGAACTTAACAGTTTATGTCTTTTGGCACACCAATGAGTGTGTGTTCTGTCATCTCAAGCTGTATTCTGATTGGGTGGTTTGTAGACGTGAGTTACAGCAGCAGTCTGATATTTGTGAAACTTGTGACATAGGCTGTTTGATCTCAAAAGGTCTAAATCAGAAGTAGTCGTAGTCGAACGACAACAGTTACGGACGACTAAAGATTTCCCCACGGTCCTCTCAGGGTTGTTAACTTTGATCTAAAACTAGTAATATGTAAAACTGTCGGCTTCATCTGTCCGTCTACGTGCTGGCTTTTTGTCATTCAGACAGAGGTGTTTTTCACCTTAATATCACTAACGGCTTCATTCAGACATTAGGACATTTACGGAAAGAGCCACAATGCTGGTGCGATATTTAGCACCTGGTGTGAGAGAGAGAGAGAGAGGAGCGAAAAAGGGAGCGAGGTGAATTAAAACGGTATGATAAGGAGGATCAAGTGTGTTTCCAGTCCTCCAGCAGGCACTTTAAAGTAGATTTTCCTGTTGAAGCTTTAATTAATGACCATCGCAAGCTCACCCCTCTTCTCATAGTGAACCCAATGATACATTTTCACATCATTTTCCTGATGTAACATCATCTGAGAGTAGATTCTGCTGCTCGCTTTATGATGTCCAACAGCACACAAGCACTGAAAGCAATCATGTATCCTAAAAATGATGTTCCCTTACAATCAAACTGCATTCTCAATTACGTTTCGGGGGAATCATTTTATGGTCACAGTTTTAAAATACTTGGTTAACGTTGTGAATTTAAACCGAAGGAAACAAAAGGTGAGGTTTGGGCAACAAAACTACTTGGATAGGTTCTTTAAAACATCACGGTTTAGCTTAAAGTAAGTGCATATGTCACGAAATTTAGGCGACTGTGGCTCAGTGATAGAGCGGGTTGTTCTTCAATCAGAAGATCGGCCGGTCGATCCCTGGCTCCGCTAGTCAGTGATGATGTGTCCTTGGGCAAGACACTTAATCCCAAATTGCAAATTGTGGGCTGTGCCATCATCCTATGAATGGGTGAGAATGATGACATGTAGTGTTAAAGTATGGGGTCAGATCAGTCTCAATAATCGCAAATGCACACAGAACAATTCACAAATATATTCGATTTACAAATGCGCATAGAACAATTCACAAATATATTCGATTTACAAATACATGCAGAACGATTCACAAATACATTCCAATGCACACATAAATAAATTACGATTTATATACAGTAAATGTAAAAAAAAATCACGACAAATAAAGGCTAAACTACCGCGGAATCCGCACCAAAACGGTGGCAGCTTGCAACAGGAAGTGCCTTTGAGCTTGCCCTGTCGCCTCCGCAAATTGCGCAACTCTAACGCCAGCAGCCTCGTGGGGAGGGGAGGGGGGAACTGCGCTCATGTGATTGGTTGAAAAAGAGAACGTTGAAAAAACGCATTTGTGAATCCAGTGACGTCAGGAGAGTCTCAAAAATCCACAAATAAATAGAAAAAATCCACACTGAAATACATACAAATGCAGAAATATATTTGTGATTTTTTTTTACATTTATATAAATCGTAATTTATTTATGTGTGCATTGGAATGTATTTGTGAATCCTTCTATGTGCATTTGTAAATCGAATATATTTGTGAGTCTTTCTGTGTGCATTTGCGATTATTGAGACTGATCTGACCCCATATTAAAGCTCTTTGAGTTGTTGGAAGATTAGAAAAGCGCTATACAATTACAGTTCATTTACCATTTAATTTGAGCACACAAAAATAAGCCAACACGGGACACGAACAGCGGTCTCTTGGGTGATAGCTTTGTGTTTGACCCATCAATCTGTGGATAATTTCAGTATTAAACTCATTATTAGTAGGATTTAATAACACCCCTAGTGGTGAGTAGAAGTGTTACAATAATAAATATGTTAGTCACAATATGTTTCCATATGGAATGTATTATAGGTTTACAATATTCTTACTTATAGAGGATTTTATATGTTACAGTATATTAACTCATTGAATGTATTAAATCATAGAAGTATAGTCACTGTAGGTATTAAAACACTAAGAATAGTTTTGAGGGTCAGATAGGGATTCTGAGTGAGGTGTCAGACATGCAGCAGCAAATGGAGGCGACCTCATTGATGGAGGATGGGGCCAGTGGGACGGTCAAATGCCAAGCTGACCAGCAGGACAGAGAGGAGGAGTCCAAGATGTTTTGCGAGGAGCCAAGATGTTTTGCTAAGGGATCGATAATGGGAGGGGACAGAATTCAAATGAAGCCAATCACTAATCGCCACGGAGGGTCATTCACACGTTTTATGACAGTATCGGACACTTTCCGACTCTCAGGGGATACAAAAGACAATGTTTTAGGGAGTTTACCTCAGATCACTGCAGCTCTCATTTTCAGCTAACTGGCCGCGCCGGACTGTGAGTGAGATGCGTGCATGTGGTCTCTGCTCTCGAGAACATTACTATTGATAGTTAATTCAGTTTGTAAGTGAACTTTGTGTAGTACATTAAATATTGTTTTAATTTGAACTGGATCTAGCTCATTCTTCTGATGCGCGTGCCCAGTAAGAAGCTCGCAGCAGAAGAGTACCTGCGGCCTGCAGGCTCCTTCATCCTTTGTTCTTAAAAACCTAACAAATCCATCCCCGACCTCCTTCAGGAGAAAATACATTTTGCTCAACGTATATTTGATGATTCAGAATGGGAACGTCGTTTTTACGAGACCTGGTTGTTGAATGGCACAACGTTAAATTTGGATTGTAAAGCGACTGACTTACATGTTCAGATTTGCCATATAACTTTCAATTGCAATCAGATTAACATAAACTAGTGCATGTCTGAAAGGGGCTGAAGACACCAAATCTCAAAGTGTATAGGGGCTTAAAATAAATATGTTGTTACAGTGGCTCAATAAACTAATGTTGAACAGGCAAACAGCAAAAGCACTAGCACCACACTAAATCCTCCATTCAGATGAAGGTGTTATCCCTGGTCAATCAGTCAGCACAGTGGATGCTTGTATGTGTGTGTACCTTTCGTTCAGGGGGATCCAGGGGTCTCCAGTTGTTGGCTCTGAGCTGGTGAAGCTCATCAAACTTGAGGCTTATGTTCTCGATCGACAGCTGGAGCATATCCCAAAAACCAGCCAGGTCTGAGGCCACGGGACGAGGGTGGGCGTTGGGGTTCTATGACAGTGGAGAAGGAGGATAAGGTGGGGAAGAAGTAGTATCAAAGACTAAAGCCAAGGAAGAGAAAAAGGGATAAAAAAGTTTTACACATTAAGTAATCTTCAAGTTGATTTATAGAGAAGCCCAAAGTGCCCCATTATGTGTCCCGAAAAAGAATACAAAATATATAAAATAAGATGAATATATATTTCATTACTGGTCAGAGGTAAATTTGCGTAACCCCTTTGTATTTTAAAGGATGTAGTTCATATTGCTACTCATTATGAATCAAAACATTTATACAGCTGAAGAGGATTTAAATCGGTGACTGCCCATTGTTCAGACCCCATTATTACAAAACCCCAACAGTCCCAAAAATGTCCCAAAGCCCATTTGTCCCATAACCCGTTATCCCAAAAACAAACGGCCGTGATGTGATCAGACCTTTCCATTCTTTTTTCAAGTCATGACCCGCTCTACTCTGCCTCTGATTGGCTGGTACCCGTTGCCTCCATTTATTGGGTTGGTTAGTGTGTTTCATTATATCTTGAGGTATAAGACCCCAAAGGTATTGGTCCCAAAAGACCACACTCTCTTTGGGAATAGTACCAACTATTCTTCGAAACCTTGCTTGTTGATCAAAATTAGTTTCATTAGTACAGAAATAATAGGTTTGTTTAGTTTCTTCTATAACAGTAACACTAGATTCACAGTAGCACATAAATGTTACCATTGGTGGATTTGACACAGTGAGCATTTTTTCTTTAGTAACTGAAGACATGTTTCTCTGCCATCCAAAATGATTTGGAAGGATTACCTCCAATTTTATTATCTTATTTTTATTATCTTATCTTACTTTACAAAATTCATGAAATATATCCATCAAAATGTTATAATTTCATACTATTACATGTAGGATTTTTTTGTCAGTGCTAAAATTGTGGTTTCCTGTAGTATTAACAGTCTCTTGGCACTCTTTGAAAGAACAAAAGTTGTTATTATTATCACCAACCAATTTGACCTGATGGTCGCGCTACAATAAAAGTTTGATGATTTGTCCTCTGGGGAGCATGAATATCTCTACAAAATTTCATGACAATCAATGCAGCAGTTTTTGTGATATTTGACTCTGGATGACTGACCGACGTTGACCGACATCTCAAGAAAAAACATATTTAGAGAGATTTAGTGTTCCGATGGAAGCCCTGAGAGGAAAAAAGTAAAATATTATTGAATCAGATGACATCCCCAGGACAATTTCATACTGTTACACAGCCTTGCACATCCTTTCTATATTAAAATACACCTGCCACTTTTATAATATACTTGTTTTAACATACTGTTATCTGTTTGTTTACCATATTTTTTGTAAATTTGAATATTATTTTTTCTATTTAGGGCCCGAGCACCGACATAGTCGGAGCGAACCACCTATAATTGTTCTTTTAATGTTTATTAATAGGGCCCGAGCACCGACGTAGTCGGAGTGGAGGACCTATTGTTCTTCAAATGTATATTAGGGCCCGAGCACCGACGCAGTCGGAGCGGAGGACCTATTGTTCTTCTAATATTCATTATTAGGGCCCGAGCCCCGACGTAGTCGGAGCGGAGGACCTATTGTTCTTCAAATGTTTACTATTAGGGACGAGCACCGACGTAGTCGGAGCGGAGGACCTTTTGTTATTCTATTGTTTATTATTATTCCGCGTGTTACGTCGCAAAAAGGAGGTGCTTGGGATACTGGAAAGTTTTTGAAATTTGGCATGCAAGCCAGTTTTTGCGAAAATTTCAGTCTGATTGGGGTGTCCAGCTGCGGTGTGAAAAATTGGCTCGATAGCGTCCCCTATTGAGTAGCCCCAACATTGGGTTTCACCTAGCTGTATGAAATTTGGTAGTTATGTGGTACGTGATGGGACGTACAAAAAATCCTCTCGGAGTTTTTCACTAAACCAAACAGGAAGTCGGCCATTTTTAATTTTATGACGTTTTTGGACCATTTCAAGGCGTCAGTTTAACAAACTCCTCCTAGAGATTTAACCCGATTGACTTCAGATTCGGTCAGTGTGCTCTTGAGACCTTGGCAGTGAAAAGTTACTCAAAGATCAAAAAGTTATCGAACTATGTATCCGTGGCGGCAAAAATACACCATTCGCCATGAAACAGGAAGTTGTTGTAACTTGGCCGTACATTGTCTAATCTTCTCCGAATTTCTCATATGTCATAACATCCTGACCCTGAAGATATCTTTAGGACAATTTAGAATCATAGTAATAGCGCCACCTAGTGGCAACAAGAAGTTATAGGTTGTGTACTTTGAATTTCTAGTGTCGTTTCTGCAATTTCCAGGCTCTGTACTCTAACTAACTCCTCCTAGGGAATTAATCAGATCAACTTAGAATTTGGTCAGAACAATCTAAAGACCTTTGTGATTAAAAGTTATTCAAAGTTTGTTGTTTTGTGAAAGGACGTTGCCGTGGCGACGCATTCTTCCCCATGAAAAACCAAGGTGTTTTTGAGGGGCTAAAAATGGTCAAAACATAACCAAAGTTGTCACACATATTTAAAATCCCGAATGTAGTTATCTGATGTGATTTTAATGCTTCAGAGTGGAAAGTCGGCTTGATAGCGCCCCCTACAATATTTCGATGATGCTGCCCTCGCAGTACGTTTCACCTAGATGTATACAATTTGGTAAGCAGATGTACCACATGTAGACTTAAAAAAAAGTCTTAAGGGTCCATGCTCTAAACCCAACCGGAAGTTGGCCATTTTGAATTTTGTATGAATTTCTAGTGTCGTTTTGTAATTTCCAGGCGCTGTACTTTAACGAACTTCTCCTAGGGAATTAATCAGATCAACTTAGAATTTGGTCAGAACAATCTAAAGACCTTAGTGATTAAAAGCTTGAGGTTTCATTGAACGACATGGACGTGGTGTGGCGGCCATTTTACATGGTTCGCCATCATCCATCAAGCTGTTGTAACTCAACTGTACTTTGTCAAAACTGTCCCAAACTTGACATGCTTGTTGACTGTCATGACTTTAGGACTTCTGCATGCCAATATTAACTCATAGTTATAGCGCCACCTACTGGCAACCACGGACGTAAGCAGGATTCTATATTTACAGCGGCCCAAACACTGAACTTATTAAAAGGGTTTTTGGGCACACCACCAGAAAAAGACTTCTCTGATCTAAATATGTGCAAACATGGAGAGCAGAAATTGGATAGAAAAGGTTTCCAAATCGCGCTTGTACGTGGAGTTTTCATTAATAGTAAATTGGCCGTAATGTAAAGTAATTTCATGCAACGTGAAGTTTGTATGATATATTATTCTACATTGGCTCACCTTTTGGCTTAAACTTGTTTCTTTATAAAAATATATATATTTTTTCCACATGGAACTATACATTCTCCTATTTCTCCTCGACGCTTCCAGCTTTGAGTCACTCAGCAGTGATTGTCAGAGCTACCTGCACAAACAAACGACCTGCATTTACTTTGACAATCTGTTATGTTACTAACACTGAAGCGCATTCACACATTCAGTTTTTTGTCGATTTTTACAGGCATACAGTTATGATTGTATTCAGAGGTACACACAAAACATCCAAGGTTTAAGACCTGGCAAAATGACCTGGCAACGCCATTGGTCGACACGGAATATACCGTTTAACTCGTGCACAGAAATGCATGGCCGCATCAACCAGAGTCCTGCCAGTACACTCGACGTGCGTGAGTATTCGAGGGCCCGATTAATGCTGCTTGCACTTTTGATTAGGGCCCGAGCACCGACGTCGGGCCGCGAGGTCCCTATTGAAACTGTAGGAATTATTATTATTCTCTCGAATGAAATGCCTTTTTGGGGGCTTTATCATGTCCCCAACATCCCCATATTTGGCGAGAATATCAGGACTGCTGAAAAATTTGATATTTTATGGGTCCCATGCTCGAACATGAAAATATTGCTCGCTAGCGCCCCCTAGAATTTAGCCCCCTCATCTAGTATGTTCAATTAACTTGAAATTTTACACAGGCATGCCACCAAATGAGGTCTACAAAAAAGCCTCTTGGACCCCGAATCTCCGCCTACCAAAATTTTCCGCCATTTTGAATTTTGTGAAAAACACATTTTTGCAACCTCCTCTCACACGCCGAGTCTGATTGCTACTAAATTTGCTGTGGATCAGTAATGGATCTATATAATAACATTTTATAAAAAGATGTTTGATATCTCATTACCTTTAGAAGATATGGACCAATGAACTTTATAAGGCGTGGCTTTGTTTTTCAACACTCATAACTTCAAAACCATCTAACCTATAATCACAAAATTTGTCTCATATGTGCACATCGTATATTGTTACATACCCTACAATTTTCATTTCATTCAACCACTTGGGAGCGATACAGTAGTTAAGCCATTTTTGGCTTTTTTGTCAATTTTCATCGTTCAGACGTTGTACTTTAACGAACTCCTCCCACAGAATTCATGCGATCGACTTCAAATTTGGTCAAGATGATCTAAAGATATTAATGATGAAAAGTTACTAAAATGGTCTACTGACATTGAACGACCTTCATTTTATGTGGCGCCCATTGCCGTGGCAATGCGTCATTCACCATGAAAAATGAAGCTAATTTTTCTGTGGCTTAGGATGTTCAGCAAGCCTTGGAACTTTGCACAGGTGTCATAGGTGATGTAAATAAATATTTCATATGGCTTTTTGGCTTGACCATTGAAAATTGCCTCGATAGCGCCCCCTACAAATATTCAAAAACGCAGCCCCAGCGCTACGTTTGACATACATATATGATATTTGGTAGGGACATGTATCACATGGAGACTTAAAAAAAAGTCTTTGGGACCATGCTCTTAAACCAACCGCAAGTCGGCCATTTTGATTTTTGTGTGAATTTTTCCATGATTTCTAGTCGCTATACTTTAACGAACTCCTCGTAGGGACTTTGTCAGATCCACTTCAAATTTGGTCAGTATAATCTAAAGACCT